TTCATTCATCGGTTGGTCCTAAAAAGGCTCCAACATATTATATTCTAAATAGAGGTCCATCAGAATTAAGAAATCAACAAACCACTTGACATTTGTTTTCTACTGTCATTATGATGCTCAGTCAAAACGTTGAAGGACAAGAACTGGAAACAAAGACGGCGTGGGACAGATATTCCAAGTACATGGATCTATGAGACCACAAACAGTTGAGATAAGAATACTGGGGGTGGAATTAAACACTGACTTAAAAAAATCAATCCAAGGAAACCCATGTACATGACAGCCTTTGGCATCTGGTTGAACGTGTTTCTTCTTTATAGAGATATCATTTTGTCTCATCTATTCACCAGATTAAAGTGACCTTAACACATGTCTCATCTGACACAGATTGTCACAGCCAATTTCACATGAGGTAGTTGGGCTGTTTACTGACATTCTAGTAAAATTGTCATGACACAGGAGACTCATACATCAAATATGCCATGTGACTGGCTCATTAGCCTTCTGGGAAGCAACAGAATTACTTCTAGATCACCTTTCCTGTCATCACCGACTCCATGCATCTACCGGAGTCCATGCGGATGAGACCAGCTTTGCAAAAGACTAACCATCCCGGGTGGTTCTGTTTATGAAGTGCGGGGAGGAAATACCACGCTTTAAAATGTGTGTAAGAAAAAGGAAGTGCTTGCAACAAGCAGTCCCTCTTCCTTGGGTTCTTACCTAGCTTAGCTGGAAACATTTGTTCCCTCTGAAGGAGAAGTGATTCAAAAGGGTAACCAAAGAATGTTTGCATCACAGGTCATGGTACATGTTCTCCTTTCAGTGAAAGGCTATGTAAGAACAGCAGAGGAGCGAGGTCAATGCCAGCGTCAACTGTATTGTCAGCAGCGCTCGGTCATGCCCTGGGGCCCTGGCACAACAGCGAGGAGGAGCCATGCAGGCCGCTCTGGCTGCACGGATGCAGAGGGAGCGGACGGGACGGTCTAGAGAGCAGGACGGTCTGGAGAAAGGACCCCAACAGCCTTGTGACAGAGAAGCAGTCTCACAACACCATCAGAAGCTAGTTGCTATTCCATGTCATTACTGTGAGCCCCTGAGTGGACAACTGCAGACCACAAAGGGACCCCGGAGCAGGACGCATGTCTGAGGAAAGCCCTCTGTCCACAGCCTACAGGACACGGGTTTACTGCACACACTGACGTCTGCATCCGATCAAGGGCAATGGCGCCAGGTCCCCAGACCAAACACATCAGCTCAGCTGAGAGAACAATGGCTTAAAATATGCTTTACTTCTAAACCTAAAAGCATAAAAAAAAGTGACAGCTCACCTTAGAAAGAAATGAAACAGGAGGGGTGGGGGGAGAGAGGGGGCTGAGGATTGTAAAACCCATGACTGAAATCAGAAACAACTGGTTTTAATCAGTGATTCAGAAATGCACCATTGTGTAACCAACTTCTTGTAGGACATGGTAGTTGAGTAGAAAAAAACAAAACAAAACAAAACAAAACAAAAGTTTTCCTTCAAAAGTTTCCTGCCAGGACCCCTGGCGCCCTCTGGCCTCACGTGGTGCCTGAGATGCTCAGTCGGGTTAAGTTTCCTTAGTAAAATGCCCTCTACCCACTCCTGTACTAGTCCCACACTGAATAAAGCAGCGGGCACTTTATCTACCGGTCCCCACCACAAATTCTAAAAATTAAAACCACTTTTCTGGAAATACGAAGGTGAAAGCATTAACTCTTTGGATGTAGGCGCATGTGCGGTTAGTGACTGGAAGGGGAAGGCTGCACTCCTCTAATTCCACATCCCCTTTCTGGGGGGGGCTCGCAGCCGGGACCCCTGCTTCGCGGGACCTTGGGAAGAGGGTCCTTAGGAAGCCCTTGCAGTCTGGGAGGGCGTGCAGTCCCGCTTATGCGGCACCTGAGCCTGGTGAGGTGGCTGCCAGGGGTGCTGCTGGGGAAGGGGCAGAGCAGCTACAGGGGTGGGGCGGGGCGGATGCTCCGATGGGGGCAGATGAGGGCAGTGCGGGCAAGTGTGAGAAAGGAGAGAGGCTGCCCGGCTGCACCTGAGGCTCGGCTGCCCCTCAGCCCGGAACAGGCATTGGGGAGCTTTGTGTTCAGAGTGGCCGTAAACAATGGCAAGCTGCCTCAAGCCACTACTTACAGCTCCTGATGGGCAGCACACAGCCTTTCCAAGTCCGCGGGCAGCCCCACTTCTGACCGCCCTGCAGAGCTGATGAGAAAACACTCCCCACCTCCCTGTCACTCACCAGTGGGGTTCGCCCCCCAAAGGGCATCCCTCCAACTTAATTTTCACAGGATTCGCTACAACATGTCAAATGTGCTTTCAAAGGACAAAGCAGCTGCTGTCACCGAGAGGATTCTGGTCAGTTAGATTAAGATTCTGAGCCTCCTGAGCTGTGGGACAGGCGCGGACAGGATGCGATGGCGTATGGGATGCCTGGGAAGGGCCCAGCCTGGAGCACACTGCCTTCCCCTGCAGGATCGCCCTACGGTTCCTCTGGAGAAGGGACCTCAGTGTTTGAGCCACGAGAGCGAGGTGACTGCTCTGTGGCAAACACGGCGCCCTGCTCTCTCCTCGTGCCGGCAGGTGGAGGGAAGCTTCGGTGTCCCGGAGTCCGGCAGGATTCCGGGGGAAAGCCTTCACTACCTTTTCTCTGCCCCCTCCTGAGACGGTAACTGCGAAGTAGCGCACATTAGGACTTGGACCAAGATGGGACGCAGAGCTGTGGGTCCGGGAGGAAGTGCCACGGTGCCCAGCTGCAGGGCAGGTGAGCTATGGCCTGGCACCGGGCTAACTCCTGGCGCTTTACTGAAGGACTCTCAGAGCGTCACATGTCTTAGGCAGCTGAGATGCTCCAGTCAAAATACATCACCCTCCTATGGAGCCGGGACAGGGCGAGCAGCAAACGGAGCTTACGTACCCGTTATTCTACTGGATCCCCAGTGAGCCAGGTCATAGTAAACGCTCCTCACCAGAAGACCGAGGCTGTCCACCACATACCTACACCACAGAAACGGCCACGCTGAGCAGCTTCTCTGAATTCACAGCTTTGTGGGCAAATCTGAGGTATGTTCGACTCCCCCACCTCGGGAGTCCGCCCGGTGGGAGCGCGGCGGGCGGCTGGGACGGACATGTCACCGCGCTCACAGCATCCTCTCCCGGGCACAAGGCCCACAGCGTCTCCCTCCGCGGTGCGAGCAAAGCCCGGCTGCTGTCTCTTTCCCTTTTAGGGGCGATGTCAAGGGCAGGACCCCTTGTCCTCGTCATTGTCACACCGGCCCAACAGGGAGACCCACATGTTCCTCATGGGCGGGGGAACAACACCCACCCCTCTCAGGTAAGTCCAACAGGAAGTGCTCAGGCAGAGGCCCCAGCGTCCTCGCAGCCCAGCCCGAAACACCTGATGGCGCTTTCCTGAGCGGGAGCCTTTTCTAGAAGTCCTCATGCACAGAGCACCTGCCCCACCATGGAGCGAAATCAATGCCCATCTGTCCCGAGACAGCGGAGGGCCAATCCACCCTCCCTCACGCACCTCCCTAAGGAGGGTGCTCTGCCCTCGCACAGTGCCACCTGGGGCTGCCCAGGCAGCATCCACCTGTGCAGCCGGAGGAGCCCCTCTCCCCTGGGAGCCACCGAAGGAGGAAACTCGAGCTGCAGGAGGAAGTGCCTCTCGTGGGAAGGCCCGCGTCCCCTCCCAGGCACTGGGCAGTGCGGCTGCCGCGAGCAGGGCAGTCCCAGGACCACTCTTTCCAGGGCAGTGCCCACACAAGGTTGTCTTAGGACGGATGGAAACCCCGCTGGGAAGCCTTGCCAGTCCCCGAGCTGCGGAGACTGCCGAGCAGTTGCCTTTAGCGTGTGCGATGGGTGGGTAAGCCAAGCCTGACCAGCGCGCACCGGGAGCCGCGGCCCTGCCGCCACCACTGGCCGGCAAAAGCTGTGAGCACAGGCGGCGCAGGTCTCACTCCCCCTGTAACTGTCATTTCCACAGAGGCTCCTCCTCTTTGGAAAACAGGACACGTCATTCAGCTCATGCGGAAGACTGGAGACTCTGGAAACTAGGATTTAATCTGAGAATTCCTCAGCGCTGTGCGCAGAACCACCAGGAGAACGCTCAGATGCCGGTTCCTGAGCCGCTGCCCTCAGGACCCGGCTCTCAGGCCGCTCAGCCTGGGCTGTGCTTTCTGACCGGCCTCCAGGTGACTGACACAGAGGGGACCCAATCACACCTGGCATCACCTGGTTCCTGTTAGAGGCTGCGCATGGTGAGCAGAACATCCCTCCACCTCTGACCCCTACTTCTGAAGCTGGGTGACAACCCCTGATGTCACGGGGCCACTGTGGGTCCGATGGAGACAGTGTCGGGGGAAGCACGGGAACGAGGGTGGGCACCAGGCAGGGAGGAACCTCCCCCGCCTCAGCGTGGGGCACACTCAGCTCTGCGGAGCCTCCCGGGATGGTACTCCTACGGATGCCGCCCCCACGCTCCGCACCGCTGCCTACAGAGGCCCTCGCGCCCAGGCCTGGAGAGAAGCTCTGAAGAACGTCTAGGACAGCCAACCTCCACCTCAGCTCCCCCAAAGCTCCAGTCTAACCCTTAACTGGCTGAAACACCACCCGTGAGTTACAGTCCTTGATGCAGACTTTGCTCATTTTCAGCTTGGGTTGGGTGGCCCATTAAAACTTAAAGCTAAAAACAAAACAAAACAAAATCCAACAAATTTACTTATCAAATCTGCTCTTATAACTTGCTGTTCAAGTCTCCAGGAGGCCCTTGGAACTGAAATAGATAGCACCTTGATTTTTAAACACACAGAACACATACGCATTAAAAATGACATATAAAAGCACTGGGCTTTGCCTCCAGCTCTCCCGGGCCCGGCGGAAGGGTGGAGAGGGTTGAAGCTGCTGCTGGAAATGAAGTGGGGCGGCCAGAGGCGGCAGCAAGCTCTTCCCTGCGGGGCGGCGCCGTCCCAGGGCGTCACACCACCTCGTCGCTCTCCAGCCCGTGGGCGTCGTACAGCGCGTCCAGGATGGCCAGTTGCCTCTCCATGGCGGGCAGGTAGAGGCTCAGGTCCCTCTGCATCCCGGCACTGAAAGCGGCTTTATGGTGGTCGCCCTCCTTCATGGTTAACGCGGCCACAAAGTCTTCATAGGATGGAGCGGCCCGCAGAGCCAGCTGCAAAAGAACTGCTGTGAGAACGCCATCACTCTCACTCTCGCACGCTTTACCCTATGCACGAGCGCATGCGTGAACATGAACACACACACACACACACACACACACACACACACACACACACAGCTGAGGAGTGCAATACTAACAATAGGAATATACCTTCAAATTCGTGGACTCTAAACTTTTTTTTCAAGAACAAAGCAAATACTTTGCAGGCTAGAAGCAGCAGGTGTGTACCTGGGCCATTTTGAGGATGAATACAGCCATCCAACCAGAAAGTGCTGACAGGAAAGTTTAAGAAAAGCTCTGACGCCAAAACCGGTTTGGCTCAATGGATAGAGTGTTAGTTTGGGGACTAAAAGGTCCCGGGTTTGATTCCGGTCAAGGGAATGTACCTTGGTTGCGGGCACATCCCCAGTAGGGGGTGTGCAAGAGGCAGCTTATCAATGACTCTCATCGATGTTTCTAATTCTCTCTCTCTCTCCCTTTTTCTCTGTACAAAATCAATAAAATATATTAAAAAAAGAAAAAAAAGAAAAGCTCTGACCTCATGCCCAGTGTGATCCAGAGGGTTCCCCTTGAGTCCTCAGAATCCACCTGTGTGCGCGTTGTCTTTGTCCCCACCTGGCCAGCCTCCCAGAGCACCTCAACAATCCTACCTGGCTCTCATTGCCATACCTCCGTTTCCCTGCACCTCCCGTCTCCCCCCAGGCAGACCATATTTCCTTCCCACTCTGGACTGAGTATTCCGTTTGCTTGTGCACTGATGCTCTCGTGCATCCTACCCCCGCTCACCTCTCTAGGAACCTGTACAGTTCGCATCCCTATTTTGCAGATGAACGTCACATGGCTGATGAGTGCCCGGCCAGGACCTGAGCTTCCAGTCGTCTCTGTTTTCCCAACTGCACTCTCACACCACATCGCTTCCACAGAGAGCTCCCCTCCCTCCATCGACCACCTGCTCCCTAAGCTCTCTAAATCCCACCGCCTGGCTCACTGAGATCTCTGGAAACGGTTTAGAATCCTGAATTATCATTCTACAGTTTCTTTCTTGAGCGTCCTCACACTCTGAATTTGAGAGCATTTGGGAATCCACCCTCCCCCTTTGTGCAGCTGGAGAGTGACTGGCATTTCTCTCAGTGACTGCAGCACAGGCCTGCCTGGGTGAAGAAGATGCGGACTTGACCCCAATCTTTCAATTGTTTGAGGAATTTCAGCAAGGTGCTTGACCTCCCAGACCTCAGTTCCCTGATTCGGAGCAGAGAACTGGTACCACTTTCCTTATTTGAAGGAAATGGAATATGTATGACATAATTAACCCACTGCCAGGCACATATCAAATACTCAAATGGTGGTAGCAGTACCTGGGAGGGAGCAGAGACTGTAGAGAGGGCAATTATCCAAAATTATAAAGTGAGAAAATCTCTCAGAACCGAAGGGTATGAGACTCCAGATTTAAAAACACACCCAAGTGCTGAGTGCAATGGATGACAAAGACCAAAGGAGGAACGTGATGACATTTTAGAATGTGGGATACAGAGGAAAAGTCCTCGGGCAATACAGCACAACAGGCTTCAACAACTAACTCAGACTGGAATGAGTTTAGAAAGTTCTGACAGGGAAGTCTCCAAGAAAAAAAAACAAAACACATGATGACACATTATGAGTTCAGAGTGATGATGCTTTGAGAGGTCTGATGGTGCAGGGAAAAATAAAAACATATAAGAAAAAACAACAAAAACCTATAGAATACTGGCTCATTGTCATAATGTTAACTTGTGAGTAATTATTTTGGGATGGTGGAGGCAGGGGAGGTGAGGTAGTGACAGCGAGGTCTAAGAGTTAAATTCTAATCTATAACAGAAAGTTGACATTTAGTGACTATGACTGATCAGGCCACAAAGAACAAGAGGCATTCTTATAATAGAATCCCAGAGAAACAGCCTGGGAAGCAGGTAGCCGCACTTTGGGACTGGAATGAAGAGCTCTGAATGTATTATATAAAATAGCAGGAGCGAATGCTGAGGATTACCAAAGGTAAGAAACAGGGATGTGCCTGGCACAATGCCCCGCACACAGTAGGTGTCCAGCAGCTGCCTGGCAGCTCTTCCTCTAACAGGCACTGAAGGATGTGTGGGCAGTTTGTAGCTGCAACTGGTCTGGCTCCTATTATCGCCACACTTTCAAAAATGATTTCATTTTCACCGAAATTTGATTTCTTCCACTTACATTCTTCTCACTTTCTTTCCTGCCTCCAAATAAATCATGACCTAAAACAGTTCTTACCTTAGGGCTTAGGCGAATGATGTCTCCCATCTTTTCAATAAGCAAAAACATCACCTGCGAGTCTGTTTCTAACCACATCCTGCCACGGTTCCCAGAGTCCCCTACGTGAGACGGCCTTTTCACGGCTGCCTCTCACTGAGACGGTGGTCCAGGAACACATCACCGCGGACCCACAGGGGCCGCTGCTCCTGCTATTTCACACACTAGCTCAGCGATCTGTCCCAGGACTGAGTCCCAGGTGTGTGTTCTTCCTCCGGCAACATGCTGGGAGGGAAAGAGTGGGCGTAGTAGGAGCCAAAACATGCGCATACAAACACCTCCACCAGGAAAATAACTGGGAAAGAAGAGACTCTGCGAACAGCCAAGGAGAGTCCATTGGAGCCCTGGGCTGGGTGGGGCAAAGCTCTCTACCAGTCTGTTCTTTGTCACCAACCTTCCCACACAACAAAGACCCACAGCTTGTAATTAAATGGGCAACACTTTGTTCTCATTCTGGAAGACAAAGCAAACAGGAACACATGCACCCAGAACCAAACCAAACCACCTCCGGACCCCAGAGAGTTAGGGGGCAGGAGGCTTACTTACCGCGAAAACCCCACGAACAACCCAGCCGTGGTGCTGCCGCAATGTCTTCCCGTACGCGTTGTCTAAAAAAGAAGAAAAGCTCCATGAGCATTGGGTCTCACCAGAATTCGATGTGCTTTTAGTATCTCGTCCTTTCTCATGAACGGTCTCAGGAACTGATGAAAAGCCTCATTAGAAGACAATATAGCCCAATGTTTTGGATAGAAAAAAAGTCTATGCAGATTTTTGTTTTAAAGAAAAATATATATTCCCACTCTTACCTATGTCAATATATCTGAACTGTAGCTTATTATCATGGGGGCGGGGAGAGGAAGTTCAATATGTATAAGGAAATAAAGAGGGAGAAAAGAATACTAGAAAAATCGAGACTACTTACATCTACCTACTATAAAATATTAAAATGCAGCTTTCTGAAAGGTGTGAATTGAGCCAGGCCCTCAGCTGTCTCCCCTTTTGTAAGATGATCCTAAGGTTCTTTTTTAAAAATATGTTTTTTATTACTTGCAGAGAGAGGAAGGGAGAGGGAGAGAGAGATAGAAACACTGATGATGAGAGAATCTCTGATCGGCTGCCTCCTACATGCCTCCTACTGGGGATCGAGCCCACATTCCAGGCATGGTCCTGACCAGAAATTTAACCGTGCCTCCTGGGTCATGGGTTGATGGTCAATCACTTAGCCACACCAGCCAGGCTAAGGTTCTTTTCAATTGTAACGTTCATTCTGGGATGTCAGATGTTTATCCTAGATGTCCTAGGACCCTGGATACACAGCATTAGACCCAGGAACCTTAGAACTATTTTGGAAAGAAGGGCTTAGAGTTAATGATATAGTTATAAAGTAAATGGTGAGGCCCATTAATAAAAGTCATTCAGATTCTAGACTTTAAAGATAAAAACCTATTCCTTTTGTCCCATTGTGTTTTTTTTAAAATATATATTTTATTGATTTTATACAGAGAGGAAGGGAGAGAGATAGAGAGTTAGAAACATCGATGAGAGTCATCAATCAGCTGCCTCTTGCACACCCCCTACTGGGGATATGCCCGCAACCAAGGTACATGCCCTTGACCGGAATCGAACCCGGGACCCTTCAGTCCCCAAGCCGATGCTCTATCCATTGAGCCAAACTGGTCCTGGCTGTCCCATTGTGTTTTAAAATATGATTTAAAAACAAGTATATAATAATTTTTATTACAAAAAAATAACCTCAAGAACAAGGTGACTACATTTTTTTTTTTGCCAGGGATGCATTCCTAAATGCTTTAAATAATTCAATATGTGCAAAATTCAAAACTGATTTTTTCCACAGGAATAAGTTCAGCCCCAGGAGGCACGAATCTTTATCATCATAATGCATTTTTACTTCAACGCTCCATTTTATTTTCTAGGCACCATCTCCACTAGTTCACAGAGCGCTTATTCCTAAATTAACATGGAGTATCAGGGGAGTTGTGTGACCTTCTTTAGCATGGTTAGCTCATCTAAATTCTATTCTAAACTTATGTATTTTCATGTGCTAGTTTCAGCACTAGTACAAGCACCGCCACCATTTAATGAATGCTTAGGTTTAGCATCGGATACAAAATATGTTAAGTTATAACGAGGGTTGAGAGTGGCTCATGGGCTAAGGACCCCTGGGGCTGGGAACTTCACCTGCCATGAAAGGACTCTGAGCTTCCCCCTGGGGCACAGGGGCACTTTATAAAAACATAGCTTACTGCTTCTTTCTGATCTCACAAGTAATGCATGCCCGTTGTTAAAAGTACGGGAAACACAAAAACGGAGGGAACAAGGAGTCCTGAATAACTGTGGCTCTCAGAGAAGCACGGTAGCATCGGGATGTACTCTCTCTGCCTTTTCCTATATAGATAGTGCATTTCCTTCGACTAAGGGTCACGATCCATCTGGCTTGGAACTGTGGTAGAGGAGCAACAAGGTGAGACTTAGCAAATGTCGCTGCCAAGGTCCCGAGCCTCCACCTAGAGCCCCTTTGCCTGGGCAAACTGCCTATTTGCGAGGGCTCTGGGTTCAGTGTTATGCCAACCTCAGAGACATTATACTCTTTCTACACTTTACCATTTATTTATTTATTTATTTAAATATGTTCTTATTGATTTGAGAGAGAGAGAGAAAGGGAGAAGGAGAGGAATACATCGATTGGCTGCCTTCTGCGCGCTCCCTACAGGGGATTGAGCCTGAAACCTAGGCACATGCCCTCTCTGGGAATCCAACCGGTGACCCCTCAGTTCATGGGATGACACTAAACCACCTGAGCCACAGTGGCCCTTTAAGTCAATCATACACAAAAGCCCGTAACCTTTCTCCATGCCCCCTTCTCTAGGGCAACCAGAGAGCAAAGGTGCTGGGAGTCCACGCAGCGTGGGCGGGCAGCCTGGCTAAGGAAGAGGGAGTGTTTGTGGAGCAGCACGACCTGTGTCCCCTCCTGGCCTCCCAGGAGGCAGCTCTTCCTTACTGTGCCTGCACCTTGCCAGAGAAGAGTCCCCCAGGCAGAATGTGGGCCAGGTGGTCTAAAGGAAGGAAACGATGTTAGAGAAATCAGGCCCAGCAAGACCACTGCTATAATTTAAAATCAACAAGTAAACTCATTAAAAAAAAAGGTTTGCCCAAAGTCCTTAGCTGACTTCCAGGGCTGCATTACAGCACAAAGTCTAAGTCTGACCTATTTTGGTTATCCAGAGATTAGATAATGAAATACATTAATCTTCACTTTAATACTCATTCGTCATCCTCATGCGAGCTCTATAATCAGGAGGTATTTTTGGCTTCCAGAAGACATAAATGATGCCCTTCTCCCAGTTCTCTGAGACGTGTCACTTTCTTAGAGCCCACGTCAAGATTTCTGAGCGGGAAGCCTTGTCAATAATTTACCTTGCCCAATTCTCTTCCTTCACAAGTGAAGAGGCAGAAAACACAGAGAGACCGTGACTTCCCCAAGGTCACAAAGCTCAAAGCAATGAGAACCTGGGGCATTCTGTCACATTAAGCCATTCTGCCAAAAACTAAAGTTATCCTCTGAGAAACAAAATGATGAGAATGAAAAATGTGCCTTTCCCACCCATTTCCTAAAAGAATTTGGACCTTAGTCTGTTTGTGGGAACAAAACAACTGTGATTTCTTTCCTGGTAACTCAGAAACTCACTGTGAGGTACTCAGAGACCATGGCTAGACTTCCCCCAGTGTCTGAGCGCGAACCCTCCCACGACAGCTGGTGGACAACCAGAAATGGAATCTACTAGTCTCTCTAGCACAGACCTATAATCGGTAGGAATTTGTAAAGTCCCTTTGAAGACAAAGAAGAAATGCAAATCTACGTTTTGAGCGAGAGCTTAGGAAGTCGATAAGCAAGGCCAGGAAAGGTAGAATCCGTCTTTCGCTGAGCCCAGGGAGTGACACCGGTCGCCAGCTGATGCGGCAGCCCTGCAGGAATGGCTCGCAGGAAAAGGTGCAGTGGACAAACATGAAAAGCAATACTGAGTGAGAAAGGAAGAATGTGCATAGCGTGACACCATGCATACATGCTTCAAACATGCAATACAGTACTGGATACTGTAATACACAGACACAAAAATACATAGAAATATAAAACGCGCATTATGGAATGACAAACAGCACATTTTGGAAATGGAGATAGTCATGGGTCAAGGGGTGGCACATGGGTTCTGTACTGTTCTGAACTGTTCTATATATTTGGTCAAGTGACAGGTATTTGTCAAATGTCTGAAATACTTAAAAAGACTGAGCTATTAGAAAAATTCCCTCTGAGTTCTTTTTTTTTTTTTTTAAAGAATTTTAGTGAGTTTATTTGAGCCAAACTGTCTATGCCGGGAAGCAGAACCTCAATGAATTGAGATAATACTCCGTTCTCCGAATTCTTTATAGGCACTAAGCTCAGGCAAAACGGACTGTCTAGAGAAAAGCCAACTCAGTGAGCAGCGGACAGGTGACGGGGCGCCCGGAGACGTCTTTTGTTAACTCCAGGCACCGTCTAGACGGGACTTGGACGTGAGCCATTTATGCCAGCAGAGCCACCTGCTGGGTGGCACTTTGGAGTGAGCACAACTTAATCCACGTTCCATGATACTGTCAGAACGATTAGGCAGGTTATAATTTGATGCTGGGTATGTGATTATGACTTCGGGCTTTCTCACACAGCTCTCCCTGCCTGTATGAACTGTGACCGAGCATCCTGGAGATCCTGGGGGGGGGGGGGGGGGGGGGCTGTGTGCTCATATTTACCTGACATTTATGGAATCATTCCGAGTTGAGGGCTGTGCTGCGTGCTGTCCCCCAGAGGGAGCGGTGCTGACACAGAGCACGCAGCATTTAGTACGATGGGGCGTGAAACGCCAGAACAGCTTTTCTCCCCACCACTTACAGGGCTGGTCTACAAAAGCACTGTGATATGGCGCCTGCGACAGGGGGGCTTAGCTATAGGCTGGACCATTGAACATACCTGTTTTGTGACCCAAATCTTTTCTTAGAATGACTTCTAGAGAATGTCACAGGACATTAAGGTTCAAAGCTTCTTGGCATAGCACCACCCAGAACATTCTACATAATCATCATGATGGGAACCCAAGTGATGGCTCAAATGCAAGGGCGGCAGCATGAAGCCCGAGGCTTCCTTGCAGGGACTCATTCTCGGCCGCAGGGCTGCAGCAATACAGCGACTATCCAGGTATTTTCTAGGGAGTTAACAGGTGACAAGGTTTCCATTTGGCATTTAAGCCTTTTACATGTCATCTCCCATTTTCCAAGGCCACAAGATGACACAAGTTCTGTGAACACTTACCTCAAACCCTTTCTTAAGCGTATTTTCAAGTTTGGGAGTGGCATCCAAGGTTTATCTTTAGTTTATCCCTAACACGGTCTTACTGTTCTTACGTTGGAAAAATTCTGCTATTAGGAAACTACTAATTCCCATGAAAGGAAGGCAAAATCATCTGATGCTGAGGATAACTAGGTGTGCTTCCATGTCTTAGCTCTAGGTGACTGGGTCTCACATTTTAGATTAGAATCCTCTCAATGGCTGGTAATACTCAGACTGCTGGGCTCTGCTAGACTTCTGGGTTAGCAGGTGTCCAGTGGGGCCTGGTAGTCTGCATTTCTACTAAGTTTCGGTTAGGGAAACACTTCTCCACACTGAACACAGCAGCGGGATACGATTTACAGTAAGTCATGAAAACCTCTGAAATAGTCCTGAACACTGGATGCAAGTCTCACATTCACAGTCCCCTTTTCCTTTCCACTGAAAACAGTGCTGAGAGGGAAGAGGGGAAGCAAAGGCTGAGACTGCTGTGATTATGTGCCTTTTGTAGCAGCATTGCCCTTAAGCCTCCTCTCTCTTCAGGGTCAACATTTCCTGGTCCACTCTCCTAAAAGGTAGGGGAGTAAAAGGAGCAGGGTTAGGGGCTAAGGGTGGGGACAGGACGGAAAGGGTATATCCTCCATTTCCTCTTTGCCTCCAGGGACAAAGCTTTTCCTTTCACTTGCTGGTTTGAAAGCAGCTGGGTGCTATTCCACCCCAGTCCAGCAGAGGGCGAGTGAGATTAGCATTCCTTTCTGGCCCCCTCCCCTCCCCTCCTTCCAGCCCTACAAAGCAATGGCATCACCTGACACACCCCCTGCTGCATTTCTTGCCGGTGGAGCAGTGGTTCCCAACAGGGGGCACATGGCTCATTGGGGGGCAATTTGATTTTTAAGGGGGGGCAATTAAGAGATTTCTTATGGTCCTAGGGCCTCATATATAGTATATAAACATATATTGTGACATATTTATACATTTCAGTTTTCTATTATGTTTTGAAACTACTATTTTTTCCTATCACTTCATATTATTATTTTTTAAACAATTTCTTAGTAATTTCCTCCTCAGTACTTCAACTGTCCTTTCTTGTATTTTTCTCTTTCATGGATGTCATGTTCTTTGGAAGCTTGTTTAGACCAAGTGAATGGCCTTTTAGGGTTCCTCCATGTGAATAGGAGTTCACTTTTTGAATAATAAGAATTACATGTCTCAGGGCGTTTTACAGATGCTTAGGTGGGGCATGGCCAAAAACAGGTTGGGAACCACTGTCCTAGTGTGAAATCTCCCTACTAAGAAGTTACTCTGTGAAGAGAACTGTCTGGCTTGGCCCCCAAGCACTGCAAACTTTCCATTCCTGATTTGGGACAAATAAACCCCATATATCAATGTTATATATCATGATGATAAGAATATAAATAATGAGAGAAGCTAATCTCTAGTAAGTGCTTATCACATGCCACTTTTCTGATCTTTTTACATGCATGAAAAGATTTAATTTTTACAATAGCTGTGTTAGAGAAACTGGATCATTGCTGCCATTTTATAGATGAGGAAAAGTGTTTCCTTTCACATGCTGGTGTGAAGCAGAAAGTTAAGTATACGTCAATGAAGTTAGCTAGTTATTAATAAAGAAAAGAGCAAAGGGAAGTCAGACATTGTTGAGCACAGTCACCTGGGAAGCCGAGGCCTATCTGCCCGGTAGGAAACCACTGTCCATTCCGGGGGGGGGGGGGGGGGGAATGAGGGGGGAGCAGAACAAAGGGAGTCAAGCAGACAACAATGAAGTCAAAATGGTGCAGGGGGAGGTCCTGGACCACAGAGGCAGTCTAGTCTAACCTGGGAAAAAGATCATTGGCTAGGGGGTGGAGCCAATGCAAGCCCAGAAAGTTTGGGAAGCTGATTGGGGAGCACATGACCACGTGGGTCCAGTGGCTGCCTGGGGCTGTGAAAACTGCACAGACTCTGAGGACTATGAAGCAGAAACCCGGGGCACTGGCCTTTGCCCTGCTGAAGACACAGTGGTACTTTTTCCACAGCGGGACCGACCGAGATGGGACATTGGAAGGCAGGATAAACTCTTTCGATATTATATTGCAAGTACACCACATCACAACCTCTCATGCATGTGTCCTTCGAATTCTTTCTTCTTGATGCCAGGGAAGAGCCTAATACCCACCGACAACAAACTGACCAGGGCGCAATGCTCTCATGTGGTGGAATGCAGCGAGCCCAGGATCTTTACCACGCCACAGGTCAACAAGTTCCCGGTACTGGTTAGAGGCGTGACCCGTTATGATGAATATACTTTTAGTGCTGAAATCAGGACACATGGGGAGAACATAACTGAGACTGTCTTGGAAATTCAGGGATGTATGAGAAACCAAAACATGCAGGTAGCCCGGGACAGTGGAGACATTTTGTCAGGGAAGTGAGGACTTTGAGGCAAAAGCCCTAAAGTGGCCCTGATTCAAACTCTTCGTGGTCTTAGCATGTATGTTAATCCTTCACAATCGTGGTTACCTAACCTATAAAAATAGACTGATTTGAGGATTAAGTTGTCTAAATTCTTCACAAAGTTACACAAATACTAGCTTTTACTGTTTCATGGCACATCAGCAAGTTTCTAGACAGAAAGGTCTGGGAAAACCATGTAGGAGTAGAATCCTTCTGGCCTTATGGCCCAGAGGCAGGACTAAGAGGCAAGCTCACCTGGAGACCGACAAAACCTGCAATGATCACTGGCTCCCCTGCCCAACAGATGCATCAAACTCACTCATTTCACTGCTTACAACCATGGCTACTTAGAGCCTGACCATGTGCTTCTCCACATCATAGCAACACAGGGCTTCAAAGTCATAGGGAATTTCACCCCCCCGCACCCCAGGCCTCGGGGCCCCTGCTGGAAGCATTTCCCATAGGACAAGAATGAGCGTTCAGCCACTGTTAGAAGCACTAAAAGGATGCTTCCAAGTCTTTAATGTTTTTCAAAACTGGTCTGATAGATACATGGATCGATCCATCCACCCACCCACCCATCAGTGTTTACTAAGCATCCAACATGTTCTCGTCTTTTGACCTCAGCCTTGACCCCAGTCTCAGCTCTGCCACTACAATGGAGCATATGGGGCATGTGAGGACTACAAGATAATGGCCAATCCTTCATCTCACGCCAGAGCAAATTCCCAGGGTTCCCCAACCCCTTCCTTTCATAGGCTCCAAAATAAGCTTCTCTGGATACTGATTTTAGAAGACTGTACTGCATTTGAAGGTTAACTTAGGAAGAATGGATTTCTTGGGAATGTTAGGTTTTCCTATTAAGATTAAGAAATGGCTCTCCATGAACTTAACTCTTCCTTAAGATACACTGATTTTAATAATTTAGATCTAGATGATCAGGCCACTCTCTCATGGGTTCTTTTTAAACCAAGCATGTAAGAAACAAACAATTAGTAATGATGAACAAAAAGAAACAAAACCATGGCTGAAGAGCAGAATTTCCCCTCCACCCTGTCTTCCTCCGGGGCCTCCTTCCCACACCCTGTTCAACTGATCCATCGAAATGGAAAGAACACTTACTCAGGGCTGTCTGGATGTCCCTTTCTCCATTTTTCACTTCTGTTAAAAATCCTTTCAAGAATTTGAGACCTCTAAAACAAAAAAGAGGAAGAAATGTTAGTTTCAAAATCCACTCCTGTTAAGTAGGTAGAAAGCAGCGGCAGAGCCCGGCTTGCAGCAGGTGGCCACAAATCTAATGGCTACCACGTTGGAGAGTAGGGCTTGCACAAGTGCAGCACAGGCCTCTAGTCAGTTTCCAGTAATCTCCTGGGCTCGGCAGGCAGCAGACTGAGCCACGGCAGTCCTTTCCGGTGTCTCTGTGTCCCCTCCAGCTTGCTCTGGCCCTTCTCAGCTGGATGGCTAAACAGGGGTTTTCAAAATGTGCTCTCGGGGCCGATAGCTTCAGCAACACTTGGGAACTTGCCAAAAAGGAAAATTCTGAGGCCCATTCCACACTTCCCGAGTCAGAAACTGGGATGGGGGTGGAGCAACTATGTTTTTAATAAGCGCTCCAAGATGCTCTGATGTCCCTAGAGTTTGTGATCCATTGACTTAATGCAAAACCAGTCAACTATATCATGCTTTAATCTTATGTATACTATTAATATTAACAATGTTTATCAACATCAAGAGGAAGGCACAACAACAAAACAGATATGGTGTTCTATTCATTAGAGCTTCTGGAAAAGGCTATGCAATCCACTCAGTAGCCCCCTTTCCGTTACAACTGCTTCGCTGAGTGTTAAGTGCGGCCCCATCCAGCAGCCTCACCTCTTCAGCCACAAGAGGGCTTCCGTAGCCGAGTTCCTAACCCGGGCTACGTCAGCCTCCACTTCGTGCAGCACTATCTTCTGGAGGGTGGTAAACTCTTCCTTGTTGGTTATATACTTCTGATTCACTTTCTGCAGGAAAAGCAGGGAAGCACTTTAAGTTCAAAATGCTAGAGCCACCAAGAGAATCAGTATAGTACTGAGACTTTAAAAAAATGTTAAATATAATTTACTGATTTTTTTACAGAGAGGAAGGGAGAGGGTTACAGAGTTAGAAACATTGATGAGAGAGAAACATCGATCAGTTGCCTCCCCCACTGGGGATGTGCCAACAAGGTACATGCCCTTGACCAGAATCGAACCTGGGACCCTTCAGTCTGCAGGCTGACGCTCTATCCACTGAGCCGAACCAGACAGGGAGTACTGAGACTTTTGAGTTTGTCAAGCAGGCCTCTTAAGAAATAAAAATAAATGCAACCTCTCTATTACTTTCTTATGTTTTCAGGATTTTATTATTATTATTATTATTATTATTATTATTATTATTATTATTTTGAGAATTAAGCTGAATTACATAGTTAGTCTCAGCATTTTAAAGTACTACTATTTTTATAGTATTTTTTTTTTTCTCCAGAACCTTTCTCACAGCTGTCCTATACTTTCTATTCTGAGATCAAATGCAACAATCATCTATTTCTGAATGGAATTTCACGTAACTATTTCCTCCTAGTATAGAGTCTCCCCAGAGACAAGTTGGTATATTCACCTTAATATTTCCAACAAGATCCATTTTAACAGGAGCAAACACTGTAGGGCCAAGTTTGTCTAAAAGAAAAAATTAAAAACATCTGTGAAAAAGCAATATTTTCAAGTGGAAACTATTTTTATAGTAACAATCAATTTAGCAGGTTTTCTCTCCCCCCCCCCCCCCGCCCTCTAAAAAAAACAAAACAAAACAAAACCCTTATAGTTTTTGCTTTTAAATCCTTTTCTAAACATAAACTTCAGAGGCATACGGGATACTATCATCATCTTTTTCTATTGTGCTATCCTGAGGTAAGTAACTATAATAAGGTCCTAAGTGGCAGGGGAGGATAATTCTAGAAACTCTGAATACATATTGTAATCCTTAGGGCTATCCTACCCAATGTGGTGGCCATTATATTTGTGGCCACTTAGTGCTTGCAATTAGCTAGTCCAAACTAAAATGTATTGTCAGTGTAAAATATATACCAGACTTCAAAGATTTAGTGCCAAAAAGGAATGCAAAGTTTCTCATTAATGATTTTTTAAAATATTGATTACATGTTGAGATAATATTTTGAATATATGAGGTTAGGCAAAATAAATTATAAAAATTAATTTTATCTGTTTTATTTTACTAGTTAATGTACCTACTAGAAAATTTAAAATTACATATGTGGTTGAAATATTTCAGTTGGACAAGAACAACTAAAAAAATAACACAATTGGGTAGAGCTAAAAAGCCAAATGAGAAAATATAATAAAATTCTAAAAAATACTTGATAGATCCAAAAGAAAGGCAGGAACAAAGATAGGCAGTTAAAAAGCCAAAGAGGAAGTAAAATTGAATACTAAAAAAATAACATTAATTGCTTAGAAGTCAAGAAAGTGTGAAAAAGGAACAAAGAACAGATAGGACAAATAGAAAATAAATAGCAAGATGGTAGAAACAAATAATAAGATAGTAGATTTATATTCATCCAAACAATGCAATTCACTACATTAACAAAGCACAGGGGGGGAGGGGAACACTTGATAATTTCAATAAAACAGAAAATATAATTTAAAATTAACTCATTCATGATTATAAAAACTTAATGTACAAAAGTCAATGGTATCTATGTGTTATCAACGAACAACAGGAAAATGGAGTCGTTTTTACAATAGCATGAAAACTGTTAAAATTCTAAAATTTATTCCTAACAAAAGATGTATAAGACCTCTATACTAAAAAAGTGATACAAACATTGTTGTGAAAATAACAAATATTGAGTAAATGGAGAGATATAGCATGCTCAAACATTAGAAGACTCAATGTTTAAGATACATGTCAGTTCCCTCCTAATTGGCTTAGACTCAATGTAATCTTATTAAAAATATCGACAAGCTTTTTCATAGAACTGGAAAGCTAAAACTTATGTAGACATGCAAAAGACCTAAAATTGCCAAAACAATCATGAAAAAGAACAACAAAATGAGAAGAGTTTCATTATTGAATTTCAAGCCTTACTGTAAATGCACAGCAATTAGGACATGGAGGTATTGGCATAAGAAAAACCAAATAGACCACTGACAGAAGAGAGGGTCCAGAAATAGACTCATGCTTATTAGGTCAATTGGTTTTCAGCAAATTTGCCAAAATATGTAAAAGAGGGAAAAGTGACTACTCAACAAATGGTTCTTGAACAACCAGATATAATAATAATAAAAAGAATCTCAACACTTATTTCACACTATACACAAAAACTAATTCCAAGATGACTTACAGATGGAAACAAAGTCAAAATCAAAAGTAAGACTATAGAAGATGACCTGGAGAATAGGTTCATAACCTTGGGGGGAGGCAAAGATTTCTAGGACACTGAAAGCACTAACTATAAAAGGAAGAAAAGAGAAAAATTGGATTTCATGAAAATTAAAAACTCTGCTCTTCAAAAGACATCAGTAAGAAACGGGCAGCCATAGTCTGGGGAAAAATACTCATAATGTGTATGTTTACACCGCAATGTTACTCAAAATATATAAAGAACTCTTATGAGTCAGTAATAAAAAGAAAATTAACCTTTTAAAAATGGATTACAGCCCTAGCCGGTTTGGCTCAGGGGACTGAAGGGTCCCAGTTTCGATTCCGGACGAGGGCACATGCCTGGATTGCAGGTTCACTCCCCAGTGGGGGGTGTGGAGTAGGCAGCTGATCAATGATTCTCTCTCATCGTTGATGTTTCTATCTCTCTCTCCTTCTCCCTTTCTCTCTGAAATCAATAAAAATATATTTAAAAATAAAAAAAAATGGATTGAAGATTTAAATAGACGTCTTAGTGTAAGAAAGAGCAAAGACCAATAATTACATGAAAAAGTGCTTAACATCATTAGTCATCAGAGAAATGCAAATTAAAACCACAACACGATACCACTAGACACAGGAACGGCCAAAACCAAAAACGCTGACACCACCAAGTGTCTGTGAAGATGTGACACAAACAGAATACTCACACGCTGCTGCTGGAAGTGTACAACTGAGCAAGCAGCCTTTATAGAGCTAAACATGCGAACACTCCTTGGCACTGGCTCGAGAGAAAGGAAAACATATGCCCACTGACACAAAAATGTTCAGGGCAATTTCACTTACAATAGCCTCAAACAAGAAACTACCCAAACGTCCATCAACAGGAAAATGAATAAACAAATGGTTAATTCACTTAATAAAATACTATTCAGCAATAAAAAGAAATGAACTGTTGACACATGTAACAACAAGGGTGAAAACATTGAGAGAGAAAGCCCGACGCAAAAGGGTTATAACATGACTTCATAGACAAGGGATTTTAGACCAGGTGAAACTAACCCATGGTGACAGGAAGCAGTAAAATGGCTGCCTTGGGCTGGGTGACAGACTGGGGACTGACTGGCAGAGGGAATATTCTGGGTGATGAAAACATCCTTTGTCTTGACAGGGATGTGGATTACATAAGTAGGTGCATCTGTCAAAACTCACTGGGATCATAACACTTTAAGTTCTATGCAAGCCATACCCCAATTTAAAAAAAGATGTCTAGGTTATAGTCATATAACCAAGTTCAACACATTAGCGATTTCTGATACTATTGACTCTATAAAAATAAAGTAAATAAAATTTGAACTTAACAAAAATTATAGCTATAATTTTTTTATCTTTGAAAAAATGTTTTAACTGGTAAGCATTTTTTTCATCATACCAATGGATTTGAAGGTCTATTCCTCAATGACCTTCACTTTCATTTTAAATTATGATTTCTAGAAAACAGAATTCTCCTTTTTCATGACACTTCTTGGAGGTCACCATTTAGTCACAATTAGAAAAGAAATGGGAATATGCAATAATGCTTCAGGTCATGCAGTTTTAACTGTATGTGACTGGTGCCATGAAGAGGTAGCTACCAGGAAGAAGGGTCATCTCACTGTCCACACAGTTCAGATCTCGATGCAATATAACAGCTATGAGGCAGAGTCTAGAGACTAATACATTTAAGGAAATGCAGCAACCTTACCCAACACTGGAACCACAGCATAACATGACTCCAGGAATGCTTCTGTGGGAATGCCACTGTCTTCCAGAAGTTCAATATCACTAAAGCTAAGCCATGTGGTGATAAGGAGGAGGAAAGAATGCAAAAAAGTTAGCACCCTCTGTAGTTCGGAGGCAGTCATGAAAACAGCTGCCCTCTACAGGGAAGTCATTTGGCCAGATTTTACACATATGCCAAGTGTTTGTGTTTCTATTACAACACAGTCTAAATACAACGTCATTTTTCAAAGCTAACCATCAAAGCAAACTACAATTAGTCTAGAGTATGCTCTCACAATCCAGTTCCTTCTCGTCTACTGCTTTAGACACAGTAAACAATAAATCAGACCAGTTCTCTATGCTAGAACACACCATCACCTGAAGGGAATCCCAGCATTGACCTCTCAGAAGGCATCCACCTCCAGTGATGTTAGAGAGCACAGGTACCTGGTGTTCATGGTACTGAAGAAAGTCGGGATAACTTCTTGGCCTTCTTCCCAGGGGGATTCCGGAGAGCTACTTGAGGAGTTTGATACGGGCTGGGCCAAGTTGTCATGATTTTCCAAGTTTTCCTCTCCATCTTCCTTCATTATTTCACCTTGTACTGCAGAGTAGAAGATACTTATTATAATCCATTATTTATTATAAAAACTTATATATACTCATTGCAGAACATTTTTAAAGCACAAAAGCACACAGAAATGAAGATCAGTGACATTCTATATAAAGACACACATATTATATATATATGTACACACACAAAATTAGGTTTAAATATATGCAGATTTGTATCTTGATTGTTTTCTTTTAAAAAAATATATATTTTATTGATTTTGTACAGAGAGGAAGGGAGAGGGAGGGAGAGTTAGAAACATTGATGAGAGAGAAACATCAATCAGCTGCCTCCTGCACACCCCCTACTGGGGTACATACCCTTGACTGGAATCGAACCTGGGATCCCTGAGTCCGCAGGCTGACGCTCTATCCACTGAGCCAAACCAGTTAGGTGTTTTCATCAATGTATCAAAAAATACTTTCATTATCATTGAATACTCTTCAAAACATAATTCTAATGACATGTAAAATTGCACCATGTGGGGGGCATTTAGGTAGTTTCTAAAATTTTATTAGAAATAGTCACTTCTCATTATTCATATATTCTGGATTTGTAAGTTTGCCTATTTGCTAAAGTTTATTTGTAACCCTAAAATCAGTGCTTACAGCACTTCTGCAGTCATTTGTGGACATGTGCCGAGTGGTGAAAAATTGAGTCACCTGACATATATATTTCCAGCTAAGGTTAAACAAGTGACACTCTGCCTTCTTATTTCAGCTCCCATACTGTACGCATGTGTTTCTTTGATGCCACATTTTGTGCATTTTTGTGTACTTTGCTGCTGATTTCACTGTTTAAAAGGGCCCCCAAGTATAGTGCTGTCTGTGATGTGCCTTATGGAGAAAATGCCTATGTTAGCTAAGCTTGACTCAGGTATGTGCTGTAGAGATACTGGCCATGGATTCAATGTTACTGAATCAACAATATATAGTACACAAGGTGTTTTGAAACAGAAACACAAACAAGTGTTGATCAGTGGGATAAAAATGTTGTCAAGTGAAGCTTGCAGGACCCTAACTCTGAATTTCCCCTTGGAGCAGGGTTCAGTATTTGCTAATTCAGTTTCTGCAATGGTTTTACAGAACGTAGCTACCATGAATAATGAGAATCAACTGTGATGTCATAAACAACATCCTTGTGCACAGAGATTTGTCCTTAAACCTGACTACTCCCCATAGACAAATTCCTAAAAATAAAAATACTGGGGCAAACAACAATACTGTTTCCATAGAAATTCCCCTGTCTTTATTATTTACTTAAGGGACAAGACTTCAGTGATATGTGGGTCATCTGCCTTACATTAACTGTTATGAAAATATATCTTCTTTTCTAAACCCAGCTCATCTGGAAAAATGGAGTCTGATTTCAAGAGAAATGAGGAGGACAATTTAAAAATTTTTTATTTTTATTTTTAAAATATTAAAACTTATAACACAATTAAAAGCTCTACTACTGTTGTCTCGGACTGATCCGAAGTTGGTTTAGGGTAGAGCCAATGGCAGTAGCAAATTTGACAGGGCAGCATTGGAACTGCAGGCTATGACCTGAAATGAGGGACTTCAGCTTGAACACAGAGAAGGCCGGGGAAAACCCGATGTGGTTGGTGAATTCTGACATACTCAGGCCTCCCCAGAAACCAGGAGGATGCAAACCTGAACTGCCATGACTTCTCACACTCCTCAGTCTGACGTCACGGTCTAAGTTCAAAGGACTTCGAGATTCAGAGCGGAAGGCCCATGAAATACTTGCACTCTCTAAAAGGTTAGTGCAGGCAGCTGTGCTCACTGCAGCCCATGAATGTCACAGCCAAGACCGGAGAGTGGGACAATCCCTCTTCTCTCTGCCACTCTGCACCGGTGAGATGGACCTGTTGCCTGCTATTGCTAATTCACTGCCTCAGGAGCTACTGAGGACACTGTCTTGTGCTCAATTCCTACCACGTGTCCCATCAGGGCTAATGGATCAAACCCCCAACATCCTAATGTTCAAGGGTTCACTTCAGACTTTAAGTTCGTCTTTACCTGTTATATTATCATCTATATTTTCTTCCCTTGACATGCTGCAATTGATCTCTGCAGATTTCAGATACAAGGAGCTCTTGTTTTTCATTGGGATTTCTTCATTGTCATTTATTTCGTTATTTAAAGATCCATTTTCACAATTGTTTAACTCCATTTGCCTGAGAATTTTTTTAAAAAAAGAAAAAGAGCAGAAGGTCTAATTATTTGGTCAGAAATAGACTGTCTAGGTAGATCTGATTCTGAGGGATGGGGGAAGGGTTTACATAGATTGAGAAACAGAATTGTTAAATCAGCCAAATCTCTCATCCCATCGCTGTGAGGGAGCGGGCCAGTCTCCAGGCTGAAGGTGAGAACTCACCGCCAGCCACGGCTCTTCTCACACCTCCAGGGACTCAAACTCCCTGCTCCCCACCAGCAACAGGAAACAGTCATTGACAGGGCTCTGGTTTCCAATCAGCTTTCTGCAGGGACCAAACTTAACACTTTTTTTCTCTCAGTTCTCAAAACCACTGGCCATTTCCCTGTGTTTGCCTAGCAGGTAACTGTCTAGAAGCCACATGCTGTGATCAGGGCAGAACAAACATCCCTGCCAAGTATGTGTGACAGGTAAAACTTCGGAGGACAGGCAACATCCTGAGGTTCTGCTGCTCCTCAAGGAAACAGAAGGCAATTTAACACACAAAGTGGAACACCCGACTCTGTTAAAGGGACAATCATAACATCTTACTATAAGTGATAAGGATGAGCCAAATTTGAAGAAAAAAATTTTCTTCTAATAAAAATAAAGGGAAAGGGTCCAAGCTACAGGATGACTCTAAGAAATTTTTATTTTCTAAAGAAATATCATATTCAACTTAGTAATGAAAAATATATTATACTAAGGAAATACCTCAAGAGAAAAAAAATGATAAAGATGTTCTTAGCAGAAATAAATATTTAGGTCAGAAGAAAATTTTTAACAATCAAATTGGGACTAATCCAGTATTAAAGAAGCAAACAATATATATAAAGAGGTAAAATATTAAATAATAATTTTAAAGGGCACATATACTAAGTAAAAATTTGGGAATGCTTATATCAAATAATATAAGTAAAGATCCCAACTAGTAGGAACATAACTATGTAAATGTGTCCTTTTTTTTTTTTTTTTTAAACCAAAGCAGCCTTTGGAGGAAGAAATAGTTTAGTTTTTGACGTTACGTTCCTTTTTCAATCTGTAAAGCCACCTAGGATTTGTATTTTTATGTTAAAAACAATAGCACTGTCCTTCCCAGCTTAAAGCGCGCGTAAGTCCAAGCCCAGCTCCTCCACAAGAGGCGGTGCCCACCCCCAGTGCACTGGGGAGATGGCAAGTTTCCCACGGTGATGGTTATGAGCAGGCGGCAGCCCAGGGGAGTCCCTGCAGAATGCAAGGTCTGCAACCAACTGCTTCAGGCTCACCCAAATGAGGGCAATTGGATACTGTTTCCTTCCCGTATCATCTCAAATCATGAGGACAACCACCATATGATCAAAATATCCTTATTTTTTAAAAACAAGGAATAACAATATATATATATATATATATATATATATATATATTTTTTTTTTACTTTTAGAAAGAAGAAAAACAAAGAAGTTACTGTACCTTTCCAATGAATTATGAGTCGGTACAATAGGATGTTTCATCTTTAAAAGAAGCAAAGAGATAAACGTTTACATGTTAAATTTCCAACAGAGCATTTTTAGTTTTGTCACATATGAAAGTGATAAATATGACCTTCACATGCAGTGCCCCGGTTTCAGAACAACTTTAGATCCTCCTAAAAGAAGGGAGTCATTCTTCCCAACCAGCCCCTCATATTTATTCAAACAGGTGCCCAAATGTCTAAGGAAAAGGAGGGTGGCCTTTTGAAGGACCTAATTATCAGAGCCAAACCCTTGGTGGTTGACTTCCTTACACTTGCAGTTACTCTCATTAAACATTAATAAATAGCAAGCTCTGATGCGGTACTGTATGAAACAGTACGGGGTTCCTGCCCTTAAGGTAACTGCACTGTGGAGTAAGGTTAAAATACAGGTGGGCAGAGTTCTCAGCCCAACTGAGGGATTCAGGGAAGGAGATTAAATCTTGAGGGTTGGATCGGAGCTAACCAGGAAAGACAGGGGAGAGGCATTCTTGGCACTGGGAAGTAGCTCTGAGATGGGGGGAGCTACCAGCAGTTAACACAGTTGAGCCAGGTAATGACAGTCAGAGAGGCTGGGATGAGGAAGGGGCTGAGCAGTTCTGACTTCACCCTGTAGGCAGTGAGGGAGCCCTACAAGGTCTGGTAGGGTAGTCCAATTTACACGTTATGAAAAGGACTACTGGCCAGCTGCCTGGGACGGTCGGGCTGAAGGTGACTGTAGAAGGCTACCACAAATCTTAGGGATGCTCACTGGACATGGAGGCAGGAGAGAGAGGCTGGCTACAGAGACAAGTTCAGGTGGTGAAACTGCCAAGAATGGACATGGGGAATTGAGGGCAGACGTAAAAGTGGACATAAAGGAAAGCCCGCTAAGAAAGTCTTTATCTGTCAACAAAGAGTAATGGAGACCATAGCTCAGTACATCACTTTCTTAACATTTCAACTTTTCATTAATCCCACTGAGCGGAGAAGGCTCTCACCTTGCTGGACTTGAGCGTGGCCAGCTGCGGCGACCCTGGGGGCGTGTGGCAGAGCAGCTCCGAGGTGAAGGCTGCGTTTGCAATCTGCATGCATTCTTCCAAAGTCTTCAGGAAAGTATTGCACGTTGATTTCAGCAGCGTTCCCACATCGATTCCCTCCTACCAAACAACCAGAGTGGAGACTCCTTTACCGTGCACAACAGCAGCAGCCCCACTGCGGAATGTCCTTAGCTTTTATCCACAGCCATAATAATACCACCATTCCTGTCTATTCTGCAGGACGAACGTATACATCAGTTATAAAATAAAAGGACTGAGTCCAATTTACCTAGGGACCGTACACGAGCCGTACCCTCAATCTGACCCTTCCCAGCCACCCACTGCTCCAGCTGAGAGCAACAACTTCATTCAACTCAACTACTCGCTAAGCCAGCACTGTGCCAGGTGCTGGGCACAGAGTCCTGGTTCCAGGCCACAGGGGTGGCAGATGTGACACAGGGAACCACAGAGATCGTAGACCGGCGGGGTCATTGGAAAAATGTCTCCTGTGGCCCCGAGTGAAAATGAGGTTCTAAAACAGAAGCATTAGAAACCACAAACAACACGCTGTTGGCTTTCAGAATGGGTTTTCTGGCTTTCCACTCAGATGAGTCTAAGGTTTCAGCAACTGGAATTCTTTTGAAAATCTAATCATTTTCCCTCCAAATTATTTTACTTGTTCAGTGTGTTTTTCCTCTGGACATTGGCATCAATGTGTTATTCAGAAATTGAGATCGCATCCTGACTAGAGAGTACAGTGACCACATCCTCCTAGTGTTAAAGCAACCAGACTGGGCCCAGGATGGAGTCCCTCATGTGACACCTCATGTCAGAAAACCAAAAACATAACCAAGTCCCTCTGCTGGGCTGGCCCAGAAAAACATCACAGACACTGCCAGATGTCTCCTGAGAGGCACCCTACTCTGGGTTGAGAATCACTGTTCTAGACCATAAACAGCCCAAGAACAGGGATGAAATTTTTTTTTTAATTTTATTAATATATTGTATTGAATTTTTACAGAGAGGAAGAGAAAGGAATAGAGAGTTAGAAACATCGATGAGAGAGAATCATCAACCAGCTGCCTCTTGCACACCCTGTACTGGGGATGTGCCCGCAACCAAGGTACATGCCCTTGACCGGAATCGAACCTGGGACCCTTCAGTCCGTAGAGCGATGCTCTATCCACTGAGCCAAACTGGTTTCGGCAGAAATGGTTTTTATGGTGCCTCTCTCCTTCCTTTATCCAGCACAGTGTCACGTACAAAACAGGCAGTTCCAAATGTTTGCAATTACTTAATTAATCCTGAATTCATCCTAGGAAGGAAACCTATCTGCATCCATAGGCTGAAATGCACATATCTGTTCTCTCTGTATTTTACTTTATTTTCTCTGAGAAACAGTACAATCCAAGATTCAGGGATGAAGTGAGAGTAAGCATCACCTAAAAACAATGCCTGGTGCGACTTCGCATGTGGCGCAGAGAAATCAGGTTTTACCTCAGAACTGGACGCACCAGTTGTGGTCGCTTCTTTCGTTTTTCCCACTTGCTGAACAAGGAGGTCACAGTAGAGTCTTAGTTCTGACATTTTGGTTTTCAAGTTTTCAGTATTTTCAGCAAACTCTACGAATAAAAAGATGACAATGTATGTCATTATCAGAATGAATACACGATATACTGGTATACAGATGATGGAATATATAACCTATGTCTGAAGTCAGGTGTTTACAGACAGGAGAAGGCATGGGAGAAAAGAAAACAGAAGAGGAGATGGCCAGTCTTAGGAAATAACCCACAATATTTCTTGAGCCAGCATATTGCCTGGTCAGCAGTACAGGGAGAAGGAGACAGCATACTCCTGACCCACAAGTGTCAGAACTGGGAGCAGGGTCCAGGTTCAGAGTTCCAGTCTTAATTCCACCAGTTTTCCTGTATGTAAAATGGGGCCCAGCCCTCTGCCTGCTACCACGGTGCACAGAACTGGGGAACGGTGTTCTGTAACGTGCAATTACCACTAATGAGGCAGCTCGTTAATCCCGAGGACCGGTCCAGCACGCCGCCCGTCGCGGCTAATAGCACCCTCTGTGCACCTGCTGCTCCCTTATTAGCTCGGCACTCCAGCCACTCTGGTGCTGAGGGCTCAGCAACAGTCATTACCGCCTGTTTCCGCCTCCATAAAAATGCTGCACGTTCCCACCGGATCTGAGTCAGAGCCACAGTGTCTAGAATTTACTCCCGATTTAGCAAAAGCACCATCAAAGCGGCAACTTCTCTGCGTCTACTGGAAGAGGGGAGCGCATCTGCCACATCTGTCGTGAGAAAGGTCTCCTGAGACACTTTTCCCAGAGGCCCTCCTCTCCCTGGCATACGCGTGACCCAGTCCAGAAAGAAAGTGGTGTCCTGCTTCTCAGACCTAATGATGGCAAGTTAATGAGCACTGAGCAGCAGCAACCTGACAACTGAGCATCCATCCGGCCTCCCTTCCCCCCACCAGGGACAGGGAGGGGAAGCGGGGGCCCCTGCAGGAAGCACCCTGGTCCCAGGCTTCTCTGGCTCAGCTACTCTTTACCAAAGGTGAGCTCTGCCAGATGGGGCACCACGGGGCTTCAGTATCACTAATTCTTGTGGTAATACTACTGTAGGTCACTTACTTTTTGTAAAAACATTAGGAAACAGAGGCTCCGAGGGACTAAGTGACCTGGGCCAAGGTCACAAAGCCAGGAACCTACTGCAGAGCCATGATTTGCATCCAGTTGTATCTGGCTCCAGAGCCTGCACTCTTTCTGCTCTGACATACTGAGTTCGATAGAGACCAGGGTTTGTTTGTTTTTGCATTTAGAACTGATTTATTATATAGAAAAGCCTCTTTCATATTTTTCATACAGAGAAATATATGGTTCATTCCTTTAGTTTTCAGTTGTCCTTTAAAACCTGTTTCTTTAAAGCCTATTGACATCTGAATTGGGATCCCTTAGGTGTTGTAGCAATAAATGTATTAGAGTTCTGTGATTGCAGGAAGCCTAAGCCAGTTCACACCTGACAGGCAGGCAGCCCTGGAACAAGCGGATCTTGTGTTACGTGCCAGAGACTGAGCTCTCAGGTGTCTGGATATTGTATTTTCCCAGTTACCAGGCCCAAGAGTCTCTGACTTTTTTGGGAAGTGGCAGCATTTGAAAATGTTGGCAGGGTCCCCAGTTTTGAAGGTCATGGCATCCATGGCTTCTGTGAGGTTGCACTTAACTAATGGTTTTAAAAAATATATATATTTTTTATTGATCTCAGAGAGGAAGGGAGAGGGAGAGATAGAAACATCAATGATGAGAGAGACTCATTGATCGGCTGCCTCTTGCACACCTCTCACTGGGAATTGGGCCTGCACCCCAGGCATGTGCCCTGGCCGGGAATGAAACTGTGACCTCCTGGCTCTGTTTAATGCCTCTGTATTGGGCACCATCTGCATGACACAAAAAACTGGCTAGATGGTCAGAAGCAAGATAACAAATATGAGATCCAGAGATGACAGTGGGTGATTCCCACGGCTCTCAGATCAGAGGACAATCAGTACTTACCTTTCTCCTTCTGGGTCCTACTGTCCGTCAGGCAAGCCTTGGCTGAGCCCAGGGCCACCAGCCACCGCTGTCTCTCAGCCACACTTCTGGCTTTCAGGTAGAAATACTGTTCCCCAGGGATGATCAGGTCCATGCGTGTGTTATCTACGGAATGAACTTGGAGCACAGCAGAGGGAGGTGAGAAACCCAGAAGAACCCTACCTGGGAACCTCCCCCACCCACCTTCCTGAGCTCAACTGGTGCCGGTCACTGGAGTCTGCTTCTGAGAGGATGCCAGCCCCACCACCTCGCCCAGCTCTTCATCTCATCCGATGCCTCCGCTGATGGGGTGGGAAAACCCTGCAACTGGCTCCTAGGTATCACACCGAGATTTCAGTCTAAAAAACAGCCATCCAATTCTCCTTAGGATCTGTTATCAGAATAGAGAGGGCATCTCTCCTTTGGCTGGCGTGTGTGAAATGTGCTGCTTGCATGCCAACAAGTAAGAGGGCACTCTATCTTCTTGTGTTTACTGGAGAGTGACCAAGAACACAATGTTTTCCTTTGCCTCTTCCCTTCCCAAGTCAGATCGAAAGTGTGAGAGTTCCCTCAGAGCCCTCACAAGGAGAAACAAGCAAACTGCACTCTCCTTTACCCACCACGCACCAGCCCCCAAACCAAAAATTCCCTTCTCATCTCTTTCTGCTCTAGCCTGCTCTGAGCCACATCTCACAGTTCCCAAAACCAAGAACTGAAGGCTATTTGTAGGTCTGTTGGCATTTGCTTGTTTTGAGTATGTGGTGGTGGTGAGAAGAGCTGTGACTTGCCGTGTTAGATGCTGCAGCGAACAGATTTAAATAAATACGCTTTGCAAACAGCCACTGGCGCCAGGTGGGCAGGTGACTAAGGAAGGAGCACTGGGTGTGTGGTCAGGCCCACTGCTCTCCTTTATCGTGATGAACTTTTAACTAACCACCTGGTAAAAACTGGCTGCAGTTTTAGGTCTTACTGCAGAGCTTTCTTTTGGGACACAACACTATGTATTTTTGTCTGTAATAGGAGAAGCAGAGAAAGGCACGGAGAGACCAGAGCTTTCTTATTTTGGGGGTTAGGGGGACAGGAGGAAAAATAAAACCTGCAACGCCCTTGCCTCCTCACCTTGAATCTCACAGACCGCCATCTGGATGCTCCCTTTGCAGCCTTTCCAGGCGTCTTCAGGAGAGTCGTAATAGGACAATATCCCGCCACAGAGAAGGAACCACCGAGGCTGCCAACCTGGAAGCAGAAGAAGGGCCTGGTCTCAGGGACTGCCCGGGTGTGAGGCCTCCCAGGGCACAGGAATAGGACCTGACAGGCTGTGTCCCCACACCAAGGAACTGACATTCCAGGGAAAACTGAGGGAAGAAGTAGGTTAGGAAAGACCTGTATGTTTGATCACATTGAATAAAATCAAATTAACCCACAGAAGCATATGTTTTTAGTCACATAACATTTAGAAAAAGTCTGAAAGGATCAGCAACAAATATTGTGATGATTCTTCAGGTAATAGGATTAGCAATGGTTTTTTTTTTTTATTCCTCTCTCCCCCCAAATATACTACTAATAACCTGTGATTTTCAATTGTTTCCTGTACATTATTATGATCACACACTTGTTTTTCCTCCCTTCTGGTTAAGAAAATTATCCCAAACTTAGAAATGAGGCAAAAGATTATGCTGCCCTTTCAACATCATACAGATGTCAAGAAGCCTGCCAGGGTCCTATGAGCTCCAGGAGAAGTTAACTTTGGCTCACAAGTTGGCATCGAGCCACTGAAATGGAGTAATCTTAAAACATTCCAGGGCTTAACCACTTTACATTGGGGAATTTCGGGGGACAGACCATATTCGGTAGCAGTAGGTATCTTATCCATCCTTTGGCACAACCTGCACACTAGTCAGAGCAAACTCCTGTGCTGTCCTGCTGCTGGGCTCCCCTCGGGCTGGGTCTCCAATGTCACCCTGCATCTCTGCATCAGACCGCAGCCTCCTCCACCAGGTGTACTTTCCTCTCTGACATGCCATTGCCCTGTAGGGATATATCTCTTTACCGGGACTCTTATGTGGCTGGGGCAGCCACGAAGAAGGTGGCAGAAGCTCTGAGCTGAGCCCCAGGGGCTGCTCAGGTACAATCCCTTGGGGATTGATTCATACAAACCGGGTGCCTAAGACATTAACCGACGTCAAAATGGTGTCAATTTATCACATTATAACAGATGCATGAGGTGCCCCAGCCTAAGATCATGGTACAGGGACAACACATATGTAATCACGAGGCTAAAGGGTCAGCACCAAATCTAAGCTCAGCGCAGGAGTTAGGTGGCAGCTGAAATGTTCCACTCAGTGTTTACTTCATCAAGTCTGCTTTTTCGTATTTACTTTTTAATTAAATTTATTGGGATGTCATTAGTTAATAAAATCACATAGGTTTCAAGGATACAACTCGAAAATACATCATCTGTATATTGTATTTGTGTTCACTACCCAAAGTCAAATCTCCTGTCTGCTTTTCTAGGATCAGAAAACTCAGGCCTGCCAAGTTACCATGTCTCTCACCTTCGTAAACAAAGCTGGTTAACACTAACTCTCAACATTCACCCTCCAGTAGCTCACAGCAGTCACTGAAACATCCTGCCGTACAAGCCTTTCTCAGCAAAGAGAAGTAATCCTTCCTAAAGCTATAGCTTACGCTGGTCATTATATTTTCTTTATAATGAATGTAAGGAGCCCCGTGGCCTTATCTCAACGTAAGTCAATTACTGACCGGCGAATTTCTTGGGATCAACTCATTAATTTTTATTTCAGAAGGTGATGATTCCCGACCTTGATTACAAATTCTATGGAAACTCTAATTTGAAAGCCACTGTTCTTTGCACAAACAGTACAACCCAGGAAACCACAGCCATCATCAGGCTCTGTCTGGATGCAGAGAATCAGCACTCCCGGTTCAGACATTAATTATTTTGGACCTGTGCAAGAGAACCCAGCTATTTACATCTTAGGCTGCCTCCCCTCACTGAGACAGAAGAAACAACTCCTGAGATTTGGAAGAGAACTTTGAAATCACCTAGTCCAACCAGCACATTTTATAGATAAGAAACCAATTCCAGATAGACCTACCTGAGAAATAGAAAAGGACTTTGAAATGACCTCATCCAACCAGCTTCCTTTACAGATAAGGAAACCAATCCCTATACACACAGGAAGGCCACACAGGAAGTACACAGCAGATCTGGGAAGAAACCTGTGTCTTTCTATACTGCTACAAAGATGGCATGATCATCCCCAAGCCCCAGTTCTAGAATACTGACCTTGTATAGAAGAGTCACATCTTCTCACCTACAGTTCAACCACCATGATTTTTGAGCAGGAATTGAGGATACACTCAATTACTGCATTTTATTAAATTTAGAACCCCATCTGTATTAGGGTTCTCCAGAGAAACAGAACCAATAGCATGTATGTATGTCTCTATTGCTGTCATTATATTTACGTATTTGTTATAAATAATTGGCTCCTGTAATGCTGGAGGCTGAGAAATCCCAAGATCTGCAATTAGCAAGCTAGAGACTCAGGAGGGCCGATGGGTAATTCCAGTCCAAGAGATAGAGGTCTGAGGCCCCTGAAGGACCAGTGTTTCCATCCAATCAAAAAGCAGGGAGAGATGGATGTTTCAGCTCAAGCGCAGGCAGGAAAGGTTCCCCTTTAGCCTTTTTGTTCAATTTAGGTCTTTGATTGGATGAGACCCATTCACATTAGGGAAAGCAGTCTACTTAACTGGATCTACCAATTCAAACATCATTCTCATCCAGAGACACCCTCATAGATAACTCCCAGCGTGATGTCTGGCCAAATGTCTGGGCACCTTCTGGCTCAGGCAAGTTGACACATAATATTAACCACCACACACTAAGGATTTTAAGATATATCATTATTTCACGTGTCTCAGGAAAGAAAAAAATAACCTGCATAAGTCATAGTGAAACATTGAGGCTAAGCTGCTTCCTGACTTCAGAGTATTAAAATGTAGGGGGGTGGGGGGGGGAGTCTAAAAATTTTCCAGCCAGTGTGCCTCAGTAGTTGAGCATTGACCCATGAACCAGGAGGTTACAGTTCAATTCCCAGCCAGAGCACATGTCCCGGTTAATGTCTGTCTGCCTGTCTCTCTCCTTCCCACAAATTAATAAAAACATATTTTTTCCCCCAAAAAAGTCTAAAAATTAAGAAAAATAATGTGGTACTAAACTAGGTTTATTTTACAGGAACCTGAAAAATGTTACCGCCCCTTTCCCCTCAGCACCACATACAGTACAGCTGTAGTAAGTTCTGAAAGTAGCTGGTAAACAATTACAGTGACCGAAACAAAAACTTCCCTGTAACAGCTGCAGTATTTATCTCGAAGTTATAATTATGCTAGGGGAAGTTCAGTACATTGTGACAGCTGTCTGTAGTCAAGCATGTCAAACTCGTTTATTGGCCAGTGTTAGCCTTTGAGTTTGACATGCTTGCTGTAGATTGTAATTACAAAAACCATGACAAAGAAAAACTTTTATTTAAAGCACGAAGTTCTTAGAATTTCAGAAGGTACATGCGGAGACCACAGAAGTCCCAAACTCATTACATATGTGAGTGTCACTTAAAGACAGAGCCGTGGAGAGTACAGAGTAGCATGGCGACACAGTGTTCATGGTGTCTAGTCCTGGGAAGCTCACATAGCTCAGGAACGATGAATTAATTGCATGAGAAAAGAGATATGGATGATGAAGAGACCATTAATTCTTAAGTTCATCTGCAACTACCTTGATTATATAGGACGATTAATTTTATGGATCAACTTGACTGGGCTAACTGATGACTAAATAACTGGTAAAGCATTATTTCTAGGTGTATCTGTGCGGGTGTCTCTGGGCGAGATTAGCATTAGAATCAGAAAACTGCCTAAAAAAGATGGCCCCACAGAGCAGGTGAGCATCACCCACTCCAGATGGGCCTGAGGAGAACAAAAAGGCAGAGTAAGGCCAAACTTATGCTCTGCTAGGAACAGAAGGGAACTTCTTCAACCTGATAAAAGGCATCTACAAAAACCCCACAGGGAACATTACACTTAATGACAAAACACTGGGTGCTTTCCCCCTAGTATAAGGGCAGGTACGAGCCTATGCAGTGGGGTCCAAAATGAAATGAAAGGTATCTAAATTGGAAAGGAAGAAGCAAATCTACCTCAATTAGCAAACATGATCTTAAATACTAAAACATAAACAAACCCTAAGTGATCCACTAAAAAATTATTAAAATAATTTAATAAGCTCAACAAGGTTGCAAGATATAAGACCAATACACAAATACTGTTATCGGTGGGGTCCCTTCTATGTCCCCATCTGTTACTAGTGGAAGTGGGAAGCTTGGGGTGCTGTGGGAACAAGAATTCCCATAGGCCCCCATGGGCGGATGAGGTACTGTGGAAAGCTTTATTGATGATGTAAGATTAAGGGACTCTTCCTCCGAAGTCCACCTCCCTCTTCCCACCAAGGAAGAAGTCCCATTTTGTCTTCAGCAGAGTGATAATCAAAGCCACTGCCCAGAGCCTGCTCCATGTTGAAGTCCAGTCCAACATCTGGGTGGATAGCTTTGTGTTCCCAGCTGCAGGCCATTGGGCCTTCTAGGGCCACATGGGAGGCCAGCATGAGTCCCAGAGAAATGAATTCAAGGGCAAGCAAGCAAGAGGAACAAGATTGAGAAAGTTACTTTGGGATTTTAACTAGGAGCTCAAACAATGAATCCTTTAGGATTCCACACATTTGCAGTGGCTTCACCCCTCTAGCCAGCCCGTGGTTCCCCAGCTCCACTGACAGACGAGCCTCTTTCCTACGCCACCCTGACTTCACTGCCCAGATGCCCGTTCTCCCTTCGCTGGACACCTTCCTCCAGTGATGTGCGGGGAATGGACTGGTGCTGCCCTGGGGAGTGTCAAACTGCAGCTTCCTCGCGAAGCTGCCCAGATGACCAGGCTTATAATGTCTAGCCTTCCCTTTGCTCCTTCCTGTTATTAATATTAGATAGCTAATTGAGACAGTAACAATATCAATTGCATTCCCATACAGTTGGAATGAAAAATTAGAAAATGAAATTAAGCAAATAATTCCATTTATGGTAACATCAATAATTAAAATACTTAGGAGTAAACTTAATAAAAGAAGTGTTAATCTTATACTCTGAAAACCAGAAACATTATTCAAA